ATCCGGCCGCCGGCCCCTGCCCACACCCGCCTCCAGCTCCCTCATCCCCGCCCCGAGCCTTTCCATCGCCTGCCACCCACCCCCGTGGTCGTTCATCCCCATCCCACCCCTTCCTTCCCCCTTTATCGCCCTCCATGCATACAGCATCCCCATTCTTCCGCCTCCACCCGCATCTCGAGCGCCTCTATTCCCAGTTCACCCCAGCTGGGTCCATCCACACTGCCCCATCCCAATCCCTTTTGTCCTGACGGGAAAAATGCTTCCTGATGTCTTAACAAAAGACTCGATGTGGGAAGAATAGGTGTGGGTTTCTTCACTGCTGTCACAGAAATCGGTGTTTATCACTTCTAAATGATTTTTAATGTCTCTATGAACATCCACCCGGGTAAGTTTGCTACAGAACCCCGGCAGCTCGATCCAGGCACCCTGAGCTCCTGAACCGTAGGGTTATAAGACAAATGGGTCTGCACAAAGTGTAATGCAGACAGTCTGAACTTGTGGTGGGCCCACAGAACCCGGGCAGCCTGGATTTCTGAACTTCGGGGGGAAAGGGTGACACACGTTCAAGGAGGGATATGTGGCAGGGGCTTTCACGAGGGCTGTACCTTCCTGGTACCTCAGCCGATGGGGAAAAGGAGAGGGAAACATGCAATCGGGAATTCAGAACAAAAAGTAGCTGCACCCTCCAAAACCTCGAGAGAGACCCCACGGGCCCCAGTGGGTTTTCTCCCTTTATTCAAATAAAGTTGCAGGACTCCTCTGTCTCCTTTGTGGACGTCAGCTTTTCGTAGCGTGGTGCCTCTGCAGTCCCCATCCTCTTCCACCCCCATTCCATCCTCCCCTGTCCATTCCAGCCCACCCCAGGCTGGGACAGCACACGGCAGTGATGCCACCAGAGCATGTGAGGAGTGCGGGATCAGACACTCCCGCCCTGCCAATGCCAGTGAAACAGAGAAATTAAGAATTAGAAAAAATGCTTGACTAAAAGGGGTGTCTGACAAAACCCAGACCCTGACACCCTGATCCACAAGAACAGGAAAAAGAGTCAGACTGCAAGATGAGATAAGGAGCTGGAATACACAAACAAGATGCAAAGACAAAGGCACCACAGGATAAAGGAGATTCCTCGGATCCTAAGCTGGAAGAAATGGATGTGAAGTCCCAAAAAGCGGCCAAAAAGACTAAAAGGTGCATGGAGCTAATTGTAATATGAAGTGAGGACAGGCGGGGTTAGGAAATGAATATGTATTAGGTGTATCGTGTAAACCTGGTCTGTAAAGGATAAAAAGGGAAAATCAAATCAGAAAGGGGTGCATGCTTTTTGGAGGAGATATCCCCCATGCACCTCAGCGCTGAATAAATTCATACCTGCTCTTATAACTACTCTGTGAGTTACAGGGTTCCTTTTATTCCACAAATCAGCAGCAGTGTTTATTGGGACCTGGCAGTGACTCCAGCCTTTTTCCAGGGAATCTCTCTGTGCCACAGAAATCTCATCCCTGGCTCCTATCAGGGCCAGGCCCAGCTCAGCCCATGCTGCGATGCCCAAACCCAGCCCATTTCCTGCACACTTTTCCACAGGATCAGTAAATCCACCTTCCCCCTGCCCCATCCTTCTCCTTCCCTGCCACACCCGTAGCCCCTCTCACACACCATCATCACCCCTCACCCGTAACAAGGAATTCTGGCTCAAGAAACATGGATTCACGTTAGTTTTCCTTAAGATCTGGATGTTGAAAGGCTCCAAACCTACAGTGTTTCCTGTGGATCTTGGGAACCAGGGCCCTGGAGCCCAAGAGCCTGAGTGCCAGAGCCACCTGTGCCCTGCCACAGCAGGAAAAGTCAGATTTTTTTAAGTTCCCTGAGGTTGATCCAGCTGCCATCACCCAAGCCCCAGGAATAAACAAAGAGAGCGGATCGATGCTGTTAAAAACATGGAAACATCCCAAATCCAACCCCTGGGACATGCAGGATTTTTGCTGTCACTGGCAAAAATAATTTTTAACAAAATGAGACTTTGGTTCACTCTCTGCTCATCCAGGTTTGCTGGGGAAGGGTTTGGTCTCCTTTGCTGCTGAAAGCCAAAGGGAGGTTTGGGAAGAGCGATGTGATTCCTGTGGGATTTAGGGATGATCAGTCAGTGGGATGGGCTCAGGGGATGGATGAGGTCCCAGAGCCTCTGCTGGATCAGGCACAAGAACAGGAGTTTAATGGAAAAAGGGTTTTCCCGTGTTTTTCTAATGGAGAAATGCAGCACAATCCCTTTCCCTGGAATACCGGGCCTGGAGCTGCCGCATCCCTCAGTTCTTGTACCTGCCCAGGTGCTCACGGGCAATGATCACTCGCTGGATCTGGGCTGTGCCCTCGTAGATCTGCAGGGAAAAGCAGAGACAGGTGAGCCAGCAGCTGGGAAAGGTGTTTGACCAGAGTCTGCACACCTGTGACCCCTCCCTGCGCCAGGCCAGGGGGCAGGGAGAGGGAAAACTGGGAATAATTAGTGTGACAATGAGCTGCAAGAGGCAATAAACACATGCAGGTGTGTGTTCAGTGCAGGAGGGATCCAGGGATCCCCCAAGCACAGCCCAGGCTGGCTCTAGGACAGCAGAATGTGGGGATTTCAGTGTTACAGCTCCCTATCCTGAACTTGCTTTGGCAAATCACTCCCATACCTGCAAATCCACTTTCTCTGCAATCACAAAATCAGGATAATGTTCCCCAAACTGCACAAAGCTTCTCCGTGAATTGTAAGGTCCAATCCCTTTCCCAAGTTTTTGCAAGGGTGGAGGGGAATAGGAAAAACACCCCAGAATTTCACACTAAATCAGAGTAATCTGAACAATTTCAAAACCTCAGCATGCCTGGCCATGCACTGACAATGGAGCCGTGTGATGAAGGGTGGGAAAAAACAACCCAAAATGGGAAAAGAGCCCAGTTCTGACAAAGTCTGATATCTTATTCTGTTCCTCCCTGGCAGGACTGAAATCAGGACTGAGAACTTTTCAATTCCAATTCTGACAAAGTCTGATATCTTATTCTGTTCCTCCCTGGCAGGACTGAAATCAGCACTGAGAACTTTTCAATTCCAAACATCTGCTTTGTGTCCTTGGGGAGGGAAAAATTCCTGGCTGATGAGAACAGTTGGAATTTTGAAGTCAGTTGTAAAAGGAATGTCAGCCATCTGGAATCTCAGCAGCTGTGGTCACTTGCTGATAGGTCAGGGCCCCTGTGTGTTCCCTGAGACCTGTTTGGATCAGTTCCAGCCAGTCATGGTTAATGCTGGAAAGAGGGAAAAGGTGAAGGTCGCTGGGTTTCCTAATGAAATCAATTCGTTCCTGCTGAATAACAAACTTGAACCAACAGAGGAATTCTGGCATGGAATAATTTCTTGGCAATAACACTGCAGAAAAAGCACCGGGGATTAGGGATGTCTGTGGGCTGAAAATGAGGAAATATTATGTTCTTTTGGAAAAGAAACCAATAAATAAATATCTGAAGAAGTGAATCACCATGGGTTGTGCCCCATGGCTGTTTCTGCATCACACAGAGGGTAATTAATGCTTATTAATTAATCTATGGGTGGCATCTCAGCCAAAGCACCTGCCCAGTGAGTGGTAAGATGACAACTTCCCTGATTTAATGCCTTTCAATACCAAACATTTTTATCCTGTGCCCATCCTGATTGCAATTAATCATCAATTAATTACTTTGTATTGACGGAGACCCCTCACTCTGCCCCGCTCACCTGATAGATTTTGGCATCCCTCATGAGCTTCTCCACGGGATATTCCGTGTTGAAGCCATTGCCCCCAAAGATCTGCACAGCATCTGTGGCCACCTGGTTGGCGACGTCCCCGGCGAAGGCCTTGGCAATGGAGGCGTAGAAGGTGTTGCGGCGGCCGGCGTCCACCTCCCAGGCCGCTCGCTGGTACCCCAGGCGGGCCAGCTCCACCTTCATGGCCATCTCCGCCAGCAGGAACGCCACGGCCTGGTGCTGGGAGAGCGGAGATCCAGCGGGTGAGCCCCAGAGGGCTGCGGCACCACAGGGGAAGGAGGCTTCTGCTGGGGATCATGGAATCACTGGGGTTCCACAGGACTGCTAAGGTCTTCAAAGGCAATGACACCACAGGGGAAGGAGGCTTCTGCTTGGGATCATGGAATCACTGGGGTTCCACAGGACCACTAAAGTCATCAAGGGCTGCGGCACCACAGGGGAAGGAGGCTTCTGCTTGGGATCATGGAATCACTGGGGTTCCACAGGACCACTAAAGTCATCATCTGCTTGGGAATCATGGAATCATTGGGGCTCCACAGGACCGCTAAGACCATCAAGGGCAATGACACCACAGGGGGAGGAACCTTCTGCTGGGGATCATGGAATCACTGGGGTTTGACAGGACCGCTAAGAGATCATCAAGGGCAATGACACCACAGGGGAAGGAGCCTTCTTCTTGGGATCATGGAATCACTGGGGTTCCACAGGACCACTAAGAGATCATCAAGGGCTGCGGCACCACAGGGGAAGGAGGCTTCTGCTGGGGATCATGGAATCATTGGGGTTCCATGGGACTACTAAGGTCTTCAAAGGCAATGACACCACAGGGGAAGGAGGCTTCTGCTGGGGATCATGGAATCACTGGGGTTCCACAGGACCACTAAAGTCATCAAGGGCAATGACACCACAGGAGAAGGAGACTTCTGCTGGGGATCATGGACTCACTGGTGTTCGACAGGACTGCTAAGAGATCATCAAGGGCAATGACACCACAGGGGAAGGAGGCTTCTGCTTGGGAATCATGGAATCATTGGGGCTCCACAGGACCGCTAAGACCATCAAGGGCAATGACACCACAGGGGGAGGAACCTTCTGCTGGGGATCATGGAATCACTGGGGTTTGACAGGACTGCTAAGATCATCAAGGGTTGAGGCACCACAAGAGAAGGAGCCTTCTGCTGGGGATCATGGAATCACTGGGGTTTGACAGGACCGCTAAGAGATCATCAAGGGCTGCGGCACCACAGGGGAAGGAGCCTTCTGCTGGGGATCATGGAATCACTGGGGTTCCATGGGACCGCTAAGGTCTTCAAAGGCAATGACACCACAGGGGAAGGAACCTTCTGCTGGGGATCATGGAATCACTGGGGCTCCACAGGACCACTAAAGTCATCAAGGGCAATGACACCACAGGAGAAGGAGGCTTCTGCTTGGGAATCATGGAATCATTGGGGTTCCACAGGACTACTAAGGTCTTCAAAGGCAATGACACCACAGGGGAAGGAGGCTTCTGCTTGGGATCATGGAATCACTGGGGTTTGACAGGACCGCTAAGATCATCAAGGGCAATGACACCAGAGGGGAAGGAGGCTTCTGCTGGGGATCATGGAATCACTGGGGTTCCATGGGACCGCTAAGAGATCATCAAGGGCAATGACACCACAGGGGAAGGAGGCTTCTGCTTGGGATCATGGAATCACTGGGGCTCCACAGGACTGCTAAGGTCATCAAGGCCAAGCCTCGTCCGGGCACCATCATGGTCATCACTAAACTGCGTCCCCAAGTGCCACCAGGATGAGGACTCCGCCAGAGCCTCTCTGGGAATGAATCTTCCCTAATAGATAATATTATCTTCATTTCTTAATTTTCAAATTCAGCGCACTCGGGAAGTTGTGCTCAAGGAGCTCTGTGGAATCGGGGTCTGTGCTGGATCAGACTTTCCCATGAGTAACTCTAAACACACCTCCAGGATGGGGACTCTGCCAGAGCCAGGCTTTTCTGGGAATGAATCTTCCCTAATAAACAATATTATCTTCATTTCTTAATTTGCAAATTCAGCACACTTGGGAAGTTGTGTTCAAGGAGCTCTGTGGGATCGGGGTCTGTGCTGGATCAGACTCTAAACTCACCTCCACGATGGGTTTCCCGAAGGTTTTCCTCTCCAGCGCGTACCGCGTGGCCTCGTCGAGCGCTCGCCTCGCCAGCCCCACGGCCCCCGCTGCCACCTGGGTGTGCAGAGCGCGGGGTGAGCAGCAGAAATTCCCCTTTCTTTGGTGAACAGCCCATCGCCGCTACTCACGGGGGGCCTGGTCTTGTCAAAGGCGCCCATGGCGATCTTGAAGCCGGCGCCCTCCGCAATCAGCACGTTCTCCTTGGGGACACGCACGTCCTCAAAGACAATCCCGCGCGTGTCCGAGCAGCGCTGGCCCATGTTCAGCTCCTGGAAAAGGGAGGTGCCACTGGGTCAGATTCTTCCCAGGTACAACCAATTCTCTCCTTTATTTCGCTTAAAGAATAAAAGGAGTTTTTTTATCTTAAAAAAACACTTCAGTTTTAGCTAAAACCCACCAGAAACAAGAAATCCCAGTTTGGACTGCCCAGCCCAGTAAACCTATCACACCTGAGCAGGTCACTGCTCAGTTCTGGGGCTGGAATCCCTCCTTTGGCCTTTTCTGGTTCAATTTCTCCTCTGGAGGATTTAATTCTACATATAATTAAATTCCATCCTCTCACATGGGAGAGAAAACGGTCAAGAACCCACTTGCAGCAGCTGCGAGACCCAAGCGTGCTGCCAAAAGACAAATTCATAAATAAATCAGGTTTTCAGGTTCCAAATGTAAAACCAGGGCCTCCATGGTGCAAGAGCAGCTGAAATTGCAGTAAAATGGGGAAAATTCTGCCAACACCTTCACTCCCCCTGGACATCCTTGGGAGTTCCATGTTCTCAAAGGTGCTTTTGCAGCTGGGTGAAATTATCTGCTTTAAGCCCTTCTGAGTAATTATTTATCTGAATTCATAGAATTATAATTCTGTTGTCTTTAATTATATTTATATGATTATATGTAATATAGAATTAGGTATAATTCTAATGATCTTACATATAATTTGCTTATATAATTTAATTTGTATATTATCTATTATATAAATTTATATATGATTATATAGACAATATAATTATTACATATAATTATATGTAATTATATGTAACTGTTATATATAATTATGTACAATTATTAAAGAAAAGTTAAGAAATATATATGTATGTGTGTATATATAATAATATAATATAATATAAATAATATAATATAATATAATATAATATAATATAATACAATAATAATATATTAAGAATATATTAATATATATTAAGAATATATTAATAATGTATTAATATATATTGATAATATATAGAGATAATATAAGATAACATAATGTATAATATAATGTATAATATAATGTATAATATAATGTATAATATAATGTAATATAATACAATATAAGACAATATAATATAATACAATATAATACAATATAATGTAATGTAATGTAATATGATATAATATAATATAATATAATATAAGACAATATAAGACAATATAATATAAAATATAATATAATGTAATATAATGTAATATAATGTAATGTAATATAATATAATATAATATAATATAATATAATATAATATAATATAATATAATATAATATAATATAATATAATATAATATATAAAATATTAATATAAGGTATAATATATAATATATAATATATAATATATAATATATAATATATAATATATAATATATAATATATAATATATAATATATAATGTAATATTATATAACATAATATAATATAATATATAAGATAATATATGTAAATATCATTATTACATGAGTCTTATGAACAGTTTCTGGGCGCTGTGAGAATTCCAGTCTCCCTTTCTATCAGCCCTGACAATGATTTTCATTTCCTGGCAATTATTGAGTTTCTGTCTGAGGAAGGAGCAAGACGTGCTGCTGATTACCTTCCTGCCAACCTGGATGCCAGGGCTGTCGGCCTCCACGATGAAGCCCGTGAAGGCTTTGCTGGCCGGGGCCCGGGGGTCAGGATCGGTTCTGGCCAGCAGGAAATACCTGGGGAAGAGAAGGATGGGGTTCAGCTCATCCCCATCAACCTCGTGGCAAAACTGCTGAGTGCTTTTGTTCATTTTGCACTCTACAGGAAATTGAGTAGTAAGGTAATGATCCCTTTTAATTGGTCCTTCCCAAAGGGAAAAACCAAAATAAAAACAAATGAGGGGGAAGGAGTGCAAGGAATGGCAGTGTTGGCTGGGCAGCTCTTCCTGCAAAATCAAATTTTCATGCAATTCACTCAGGTAAACCTGCAAAGCTTCTTCACCTTTCCCATGTGTTGTAAGTCTCAATATCCCACTTAACCTCCATATAATATAATATAATATAATATAATATAATATAATATAATATAATATAATATAATATAATATAATATAATATAATATAATATAATATAATATAATATAATATAATATGGAATAATATGGAATAATGTAATATGAAATAATATGAAATAATATGAAATAATATGAAATAATATGAAATAATATAATATGAAATAATATGAAATAATATAATATGAAATAATATGAAATAATATAATATAATATAATATAATATAATATAATATAATATAATATAATATAATATAATATGGAATAATATGAAATAATGTAATATGAAATAATATGAAATAATGTAATATGAAATAATATGAAATAATATGAAATAATATAATATGAAATAATATAATATGAAATAATATAATATAATATGAAATAATATAATATAATATAATATAATATAATATAATATAATATAATATAATATAATATAATATAATATAATATATATGCCAATTTCCAGCACATCTCTAAGGATTATTGTACAGGGAATGCAGCATTGTGTGTGAGGGGCCTATTCCTCTCAGTTGAAAATATTTCCATTTTATTCTTGCCGGTATCATTTGCAAATGGAATTTTTGTGTTGGCAATTGCTGTAAATTCCATCTCGGGGAGTCAGGAATGTGCTGGGAGAGTCTCTGTGGTGGTTCTGCCTTGGGCAGGAAATTAAACAGTGAGAAAACTCAATTTCCACAGATAAGTGTGTAAAGTTTTTCCTCTTGGACTGAGAAGCGTGTTGGGGTGGGGAGAGCGTCAGCCCCGAGGAAGGGTCTGTGCTGCCCTCCCCGGACCCTGCAGCACAGCCCGGGGCTCTGGGACTCCTTGGAAATGTTTTACCTTCAGACAATTAAATCCCAGAGTGTTTCTGTGTTCCCTGTGAGTGGGAAGCTCTCCCAGCTGAGTCAGGAGCAGCTGATCGCTGTCTGGCAGCCAGGGCTCAGTAACCTGAGCGTTTTGTTGTTGTCTGTGAGTAACTCCCTGTCCCAGAGGGAAAGAGGAGGGAACCGCGTCCTGTTTCAGCCCAAATGAGGGGAGCTGTGACACCGCCAAGCTCTGATGGCATCAGCCCATTCCCTCTCTGGGCACCCACAGCAGCCTCTTCCCACTTGTTTTTGCTCCTCTTCATCAGTTTTTTGGTTTTGCCCCACCATGAACTGATCCAAGCTACACTTGAAAAGAGTAAAGCCCCAAAACATCTGCAGTGCATTGGTAACATCATTGTGTAAAGAAATGAGGCTGCAGAGGTCTTCGAGAAAAGAAAGAAAATCATCAAAGTTCTCCTGAAAGCCGGTTTCACCATAAAAAAAAAATAAATTAAGAGACTTGCTGGAGAGATCCAGTCCCTGAGGATAAAGTAGCAAAAGGAACAGATGTCATCAACAAGATCACAACAATATCTCCACAAACCAACAAAAAAGAAACACAAGCTCTCCTAGGGGCCGTAAGTTTTTAGAGAATGCACATTCCTGACTACAGTCAAATTATGAGCCCTCTCTACCTGATCACCCGCAAAAAAACCACTTTCCAGTCGAGCCCTGAACAACAAGAAGATTTTGCTCAGATCAAGCAAGGAATCGCTCGTGCAGCAGCGCTTGGCCCAGTGAAGAACTCACCAGTTGGCCTTCCCACCGTTGGTGATCCACATCTTCTGCCCGTTGATGATGTACTCATCGCCTTTCCGCTCCGCCCGCGTCCTGATCCCGGCCACGTCCGAGCCGGCGCCCGGCTCCGTCACGCAGTAAGCCTGGAAAAACAACCCCCAGATCCCAAGGAATTCACCCTTTTTTTGGGAAAAAAAGGTTTGGGAAAGCACAACGTCACGGCCGAGCGCTGGGCAGCGACCGAGCCACGGCACACAAGTGTCAGAGGCGCTTCTGTCGTTAATTAATGGCTAAGGTAATGGGTTCCCTGATCGAACACACATCAAGGGTTCCCCTGTCATTAATTAATTAATCATTGGGATTCCCTGATCAAACACACATCAGGGGTTCCCCTGTCATTAATTAATTAATCAATGGGATTCCCTGATCAAACACACATCAAGGGTTCCTCTGCCATTAATTAATCAATGGGATTCAATGATCAAACACACATCAAGGGTTCCTCTGTCATTAATTAATCAATGGGTTCCCTGATCAAACACACATCAAGGGTTCCTCTGTCATTAATTAATCAATGGGTTCCCTGATCAAACACACATCAGGGGTTCCTCTGCCATTAATTAATTAATCAGTGGGATTCAATGATCAAACACACATCAGGGGTTCCCCTGTCATTAATTAATCAATGGGTTCCCTGATCAAACACACATCAAGGGTTCCCCTGTCATTAATTAATTAATCAATGGGATTCCCTGGTCGCACTCACACACATCAAGGGTTCCCCTATCATTAATTAATTAATCAATAGGATTCAATGATCAAACACACATCAAGGGTTCCTCTGTCATTAATTAATTAATCATTGGGATTCAATGATCAAACACACATGAAGGGTTCCCCTGTCATTAATTAATTAATCAATGGGATTCCCTGGTCACACTCACACACATCAGGGGTTCCCCTGTCATTAATTAATCAATGGGATTCAATGATCAAACACACATCAGGGGTTCCTCTGTCATTAATTAATCAATGGGTTCCCTGATCAAACACACATCAAGGGTTCCCCTGTCATTAATTAATTAATCAATGGGATTCCCTGATCAAACACACATCAAGGGTTCCTCTGTCATTAATTATTTAATCAATGGGATTTCCTGATCAAACACACATCAGGGGTTCCCCTGTCATTAATTAATTAATCAATGGGATTCCCTGATCAAACACACATCAGGGGTTCCTCTGTCATTAATTAATTAATCAATGGGATTCCCTGATCAAACACACATCAGGGGTTCCCCTGTCATTAATTAATTAATCAATGGGATTCCCTGATCAAACACACATCAGGGGTTCCCCTGTCATTAATTAATTAATCAATGGGATTCCCTGATCAAACACACATCAGGGGTTCCCCTGTCATTAATTAATTAATCAATGGGATTCCCTGATCAAACACACATCAGGGGTTCCCCTGTCATTAATTAATTAATCAATGGGATTCAATGATCAAACACACATCAGGGGTTCCCCTGTCATTAATTAATTAATCAATGGGATTCCCTGATCAAACACACATCAGGGGTTCCCCTGTCATTAATTAATTAATCAATAGGATTCCCTGGTCGCACTCACACACATCAGGGGCTCCTCTGTCATCCTGCCCAAGTATTTTTTCTGCTGCTGCTCGTTCCCAGCGATGATCACAGGCATTTGCTGGAAGGGAATGTTCAGGGCATTTACCTATCACCTCAAGGGCCCTGAGCCCAGTTTGGAACACCCAGAGCCCACTTTGGAGGACTCAGAGCCCAGTTTGGAGAACCCAGAGCTCAGTTTGGAACACCCAGAGCCCAGTTTGGAGAACCCAGAGCCCAGTTTGGAACACCCAGAGCCCAGTTTGGAGGACCCAGAGCCCAGTTTGGAACACCCAGAGCCCAGTTTGGAGGACCCAGAGCCCAGTTTGGAACACCCAGAGCCCAGTTTGGAGCACCCAGAGCCCAGTTTGGAACACCCAGAGCCCAGTTTGGAGGACCCAGAGCCCAGTTTGGAGGACCCAGAGCCCAGTTTGGAGGACCCAGAGCCCAGTTTGGAACACCCAGAGCCCAGTTTGGAACACCCAGAGCCCAGTTTGCAGACCCAGAGCCCAGTTTGAGGACCCCAGCCCAGTTTGAGGACCCCAGCCCAGTTTGCGGACCCAGAG